TATCAAGCATCATGCAGAGTCAAATACGGCTTAACAAGGTCTGCCCACACACAGATTTCCGCAGCAGATCCCACAGCAAACCCATCATTCCTCAGTTCACAAAGAAATGGATCTCAGCTCTGCCGAGAGCGGAGTCAGCAACAGAACCAGCATAACCCATCTGCAATGGTTATCAAAATCCATTTAATGCTCCCATTGCACGCACACTTGCATCTCTTCCACTCTTTTGAGACTCGGGGCTTGGGTGCAAGACCAAACCACAAGGTTACAGAGCATTTCCACGGAGGAACAGCTAACGTGCACCCCCTTACCTGCTGCCGACTTGAGAGCCACTACAGACAGTGCAAATCTGCCGGTACACAGCAACTACACTGATGCTACGGGCTTGCATGGCCAAGTCCTCAGTAGGCATGTCCAGTGGAAGCAAGAAGGGTAGCAGCAGAGAAGCCTGCCAGGCTTTTATCACAGAGAGACAGCAACATGCAGGCTCACACAGAAGTGCAGGAGGCTCAGTTCCTTCATAAGCCTTCATCTGAGAAGGGGATGGATAGCGGGATGGTTCAAATGGCACTCCTGCAGCTGGGAAGGGCAGGAAAGCCACCCCAGTGCCTAATACCCAGCAGCCAGGGCCCAGTGTGAAAGCTCACAGTCATTTTCTTCTTATCCTAAAAGAGCCGAATGAAACAAGCTGCTGACAATCTGTCGAAGGCTGGAAAAGGTATAGGAGATTAAAAAAAAATCCAGACACCTGTTAAGAGAAGGCGGGGGCTGGGGGGTAGCAATTTCTCTCGAATAAAAATGCTACAATTAAATTAACACCTTCAGGGCATTTTAAGACGCTTGCAACATCGTGACAAAAACATACCAGTGGAATCTGGAGGATTTAATACTTGTCAAAGGCAAACAAAAAAACGCTCTTCTTGGAGAGGAGGGATACTAAAAAAGAATGCACCATGTCTGCAAGAACACAGCACGCATACGTAGCATACGTAATCCCAAATATCAGCATGCATTAAATTAACTACTGAAACTTTATGCATTACCCCTCCTGTCTGGAAGAAGCTACAGAACAAGAAAAGCCATTAACATTTTAATGAATCTGGGATGGCAGGGCCCTAAGCTCTAAGAATTCAGCCTCCAGGGGTTGTGCAGAAGAAAAGGGGGGAGGGAGTCACTGGAGGAAACCTCTGTGGGATGAGCAGCATGGGTACCGGCCTGCTACCATTCCCAGGGATCTCAAACAAGAGGTGCGACCTTTGGGGGAGAGGGAAGCTTAATGAAGCGCCAGCCGAGATGCAAGGAAAAAACTGGAGAAATCTGAGCACATCTTTCTTCCTTTGGAGACTGTACTTCTTTTCTGAACCACAGGGTCTTTTGAGACTTGTCCCAGAGAGTGCCCAAGTGCTGTGGGAAAACAAATAGCACGCAGGCACTTCTGATGGTGCCTGGAGCAGAATCTCTCCTCTACCATGCAGAGCAAAGACTTGCACTGAAATTCAATGCAAAGCACGGGAGCTCTACCCAGACTTCAAGGACTTTGAGTAAGGACGCTTCAGCAACCCAGTGTCCTTGCAGAATTCACCAGCGATGTGAGAATCCAGGAAAAGATTTACCCAAGCTTGGGGCATCTGAGGAAACCAGCAGTAGTTTCAGCCACACAGCAGTTGGGCATCTATCGCAGAAGATGCTACAGGGAATATTCAGAGTCTCAGACACGCTTTGCCAGCAATTCAAAAGCTCAGGCATCCGCTGTTGAAATCCTACAAGTCTGCTTTCTTTAGCCTCAGAACTAATACATCAGCTTTTTGAACCACCTAAGACCAAGGGGCAGAGGGAAACTGCACTGCCAAATAACCTTCAAAGCGTCCACCATCACTGCACTGTTTTCTTAGCACAGCTTCCCTGCCCCCTGATATTCCCATCCTTGATTCATCCATTCAACCTTTGCTCAAAGAAGCAATCTCAGCCAGACTAAGAAGGCACAGCAGGGATGCTTCCTAGGAAATCTGCATGGACACACAGCCTTGCAGAGGAATCAAGAAATAGCATCAACATGCAAATAATCCAGGAAAAGTTTAAGATCATATGGCTCCTAGCCTTCCCCCAGTCTTTCTCCTTCTGCACCACTAAGGCTCCCTCACCTTACCCTCCCCAGCCTTCTCTCACGTACACCCAAGATCACAGGAGCATCAAGTTTACATCTACCGAAGATTTTTGAGTTTTACTTAGAAAGATTTTTGTAGTACTAGATTCACTTATTAACCAAAAATTGCTTAAAGGATTAATTACATCGCACATATTTAACTTATACTAGCACGTCTCAGGCATTTTAAAACACTTGGGCGTTTAAGAAAACCACACTGAAGAGTTTCCCCGTTCACTTTTCCCGAATGCCTATGAACTAGGGCTACTTACACAGTGGGTAACACCACATTGCGCGGGCATCCAGAGCTGCCTCCAGAGAGCCGGGGGGGGATCCTGCCCCGGGGGGACCGATCCCACCTCCGGGCACAACACCTCCCAGCGGCACAAAACGCAGCTGGCCACTGCAGCCTGGAAGCCCACCCAAGCCCACCCGTACAATATACCCACCACCTCACAGAGCTTCGGAGATCATCCACAGGCCAAAGGATTAGAACAGAATGAGAAAGGGAGATGTGTTACCGTTTTATTGTGAGGGAAACTGAAGTACTTTTGTTTGCTCAAAACCCTCTCCTCCTCCTCCTGTGACGAGAGGTTAAAATATAAAGGACTACTCCTGTACGCAGAACATTAAATAAATTTATATTTGTGTTTTTAAGCTCTTAAGGAAATGGAACGGCCAGAACTGAAAGCAATTAGTGCACCGAACCAGACAGCTAAAACAACAAAAAACACAAAACAATGATCTCTTCTTTCCCAAGTTCAGATGTCACCATCACACTTTCCTATTCATGCAGCACACTGCGTTTTGAAAAGCTGGGCTGTTTTTCTCTGCCTGAAAAGAATACAAAGAGTTCCTATTTTTTTTTTCCCCCCCTAAGTACTCTGGTAGTTAGAAAAACAAAAACTGATGGAATACAAACCACCGAACAGGAGAAACCTTTGGCAGGTTGAGAATCTGACATATTGGAAATACAAAATACAGAGCTAAGAAACAAGAATACTGCAAATCTCCAAAACCTTCTGTGAGAATTTGCCCTGCAGCATCCCAGATGGTGTGGGGTTTGCCTTCTAATTTGAAGAGCTGCGAGACACCCCTAACATGACCAAACAGCAGAAAGTAACATCACTCATCTTCCGCCGCGGCCCCCCTGCACCACCTCGCGTGGTGCGTTCCTCGTTTGAAGTGTCGCGCCGCTAACTGGGACATGATTAAGTGGAGGGAAGCGGTATCAGTCACCTTCTGCAACGAACCACAGAGAAGAGAAAGTAATGCAATAAAACGGGCGATTAACACTGAACCTTGGATACAGGAAAGCAACTGCTCCCTGCCACCTGCATTAGTCCAACCCATCACTGGAGAAAAACACTTCCTTGTGCCCTAACTTCTGACACACACGCATCTACCCAACCATAAATGTTCACACCAGCTGTTCTCGTCACAGTTGAGCTCTCAGGCCAGCTTCCAAGTCAGGCTGACAAGGGTTCACATGGCTCTGATCAACCAGCTCTTTTGCAGCTAGTTATTCATTTGCAAAGAGAATTACTAGGCCAACAGTGTTTTCCTTTTGTATAAGCTCTGTCACAGACAGCACCCAACTCAGTAGCCAAAATACTGCATCAATTAATGCTTGTGTATTTCTAAAATGTTGTAACTAATGTGTTTCTTCTGTCTCTCAGATGATTTCTTTCCAGTTTTCTTCTCTTACAAGGTTTTGCAAATGTGCATAAAATTATATGGTTCACAGAAGTTTTTCAGCAACTGCTTAGAGACTCATTACGCTTCATCAATTATTTTATCAGATAAAGATGGCATTAAAAGCACCAAACAAATAAAGGAAAGATGCAAATTTCAGATAGTTACAGGAAGGTGAAGTGGCCACTGAATAATCTTCAGTTGCAAAGGGTCAATGTCAAGTTAAACCATAAAGAAAAAAAGAAAAAGGCTCTCTGTTGCACTATTTCTTCTCTTTAATACTCAGTTACATCCCTCACACACAACATTGCTCTCTCCCACCCCATCCATCACATCTCAGAGCATTTTCTGCATATCCACTGCATATAAGGAAGCAAAGATAGCTGACAGCTGCTCTAATTTGGTCACACAGATTTGCCATTTCTAGATCACTGGGTCATAAGGCTGCTTAAATGTGACCCACTAGACCCTGAACTTCTTGCAGAACTGGTAAGTTCACCAGGCCACCAAAAAAAAAAAAAAAAAAAAAAAAAAAAACCAAAAAAAACCCAAACCCCACCACCAAAATAAGCAGCAAATGTTACAAACAAATGATAAACCTGTGTGGTTTCCAATAACATATTTTAAAAGTTTCTCACAGCATCCTTTTCTGACGTTATCTCTGCAGGGGACAGACAGACTGATTCTCCTTCCAGAAGTACAACTAGTAATACCAGCACCCTGCCTCTTGCTAATCACAGGTAAAGAGCAGAGCAGAGCAAAGGAATTGGACTTCTAACCTACAGGCAGCCTTCTTTTGGACAGAAAGATTTTTTCTTTCAACCTTTTTTTTTTTTTTTAACTATATTCTAGTCATTTCAGAGACCTTGAGGAAAGACATCAACATTGTGACAGATACACATATAAAAATAGGATGTAAAGCATTCCTTAAATTGGAAAATAAAGCAGGCTCTCAAAAAGGCAGAACTACAGTCAAGCGTTATTTTATGACTGTATTTCCACCACCAGCTCTCTGAACTACAGGCAAATCCATGAATTACGCGGAAAAGCATCCTGCAGGACACAGATAGCAACTTCAGAGACAGAAAAACCCTACTAACCCAGTTTTCTAGGCCATGTGATAGGACAGCATAGAATCAAACAAATTAACATTGGAGTTTACCATTTCGAGACAAATCAAGCTCCACCAGCTGCATGAAATTCGCTATTTCTGGGGGGAGCCGCTGGATTTCATTATCACTAAGTCCAAGTTTCCGTAACTTCACAAGTTGGAAGAAAGGCTGAAAGGAAGAAAAAATTCCATGTTAGAAAATATTCACATAATTCACATATAAGCATAATAAATGATAAGCAATAAGTGGAAGCTGCTTTCAAAATTTGAGCTAATTAAAGTTATTGCTTAGAACCAGTTATGCAGACCTCTTTCAGACCTACATCAGAATGAACATTTTGTTTTAATTTTTACATCCAAATAGACTATAGTCTGTGTTTTACCTAAAATGAAATTTAAAAAAAAAAAAATTCTGTAAAGCTCGCTATTAAAGATGACAGCAGACAGACACTAGTGAAATCCAGGGTCCCGACTTCAAAATCGTTAATGGGGTGAGGTTACCCAGCAGGGTAATTAAAAGCATCCTAATTACACACCAGGGCTCATTAGGAAGTTAATGCAGAGGGACACTTCTAAAGGACGATCCAGAAAACCCATGGAGAGGGGCTGCCAAGGTCTTCTTCACCGAAGAACACCACAGCCAACTAGGTTACAGAGCCACCCTCCCTGGGGACGACTTTCTTTCTCGATTCATACACCCAGCGCTCCACGGCCCAGTTTCAGAAGGACTAATGAAAGTTGGGCAGGATACACACAATTCCAAGTCTTCCCAGCTTGAGGAGGAACCCAACCCAGCCCTGTCTCCACAGTGAGGACACGGGTATGCACTGCAGCCAGGATGCTAACTTTGACCCCCAGCTATGGGGTCAGAGGGTCTGGCAGCCCCCAAGACAAAACAACTGTCAAAGACGACAGGCCAAGCTGCAAATCAGGTCACCCCCAGGCACTGGGAGCAGCTGGTGATTGAAAGACAACATGGTCATTAAAAACCTGTTGAGATGTAGGCATCCCTAGGGAAGTTGGAGAACTCTTCTCTCATCACAGCCTTCCTCTCTTCCAGGCAAGCCTTTGAATGAGTGACTGCAAGAGGTGAGGACTTCTACAGAATTAAATGACTTTATATACACGTCATCTTGACCACAACTGATCAGATTCCTCAAGTTTCGAGAGAGTTTTGTGCCCCCGGACTGCACAGGCATTTCTGCCCAGCAGTCAGAACCCATGCATCTCACCCACTGGCGGCATGTGTGCCTGCCTGCCTGCACCCTCGGGGGTTTGGCTCCTCAGGGTAAGTGGAAGATGCTAGTAAGTTTGGGATATCTGCTTATATTTAATCACCTGCAATCCTTCCTTGGAAATTAGCACCTTTTTATTTATTATTATTTCATTTAGGTGCTGGAATGTGTGCTCTGAATGTCACTCAATGCTATCTTGGACTAACGCGAAAAGGAGCAGCAAGATGAGCATCTTACTAGGACCCAAGGTAAAGGCACAGTCTTGAGAATCTGTATTATGAGACAGGCTTTCAATCTTACTTTGAGTGTCTTATACTCCAAGATCATAAATCAGGTTTTAAGTGCAAGGTTTTGCAACCACAGCACCAATCTTCCAATATATATTGCTGTTCCTTGTCACAGAAAAATAAAACACAACTGAAATTAATGTGTTTTCCTCTCAAAAACATGGGTTCCTTTTAGGGAATAGAAAGGATAGAGATTTAAAAGGTTTACAAAGGCTCGGCAGTCAAAAGATTCACCAGATCTGAATATGAAAATTCAAAGGCATTTTTTGCATCAGAATGGCACTCAGTCTCCCCACGTATCAAATGCTTTTGATAAGAGAGTTAAAGTTGTAAGACAAGGGTAACAAAAGTTACAGTTCTACATTTCTAGCTCCCTAAAAACATGTATTACAATTAAAATAGTCACAACTGGTTTTTTAATCCTCCTTTGTCCTCACAAGATCCATAACTGCTTTTTCATATCATTAACATTTTTTATCTTGTAAAATAAATGCATCTCTTTTGCTAAATATTTATTATTATGACTAAACCAAGAATCCATCAGAAGCTTAGAAAAGCACTTAAAGATACTTCTGTGAAAACACAGCAGGAGTACACTCCACAGAAGAGATCCCAATCTGTCCTAACACCATTCAAATAAATATTTGCCCAAAAGTGTCCCTCAGCCAGTGCTTAGCTGCTAAGCTGTACAGCAGTTATAAACATTGATGTTCTGCTACAAATCTTCTCATAAGCCACGGCTGTCCTTGCCAGAGATGCTCTACAATGGCAAGTGAGAAAAACCAGAAGGAACGTGGTTAAAAGCCAGAAGGAACATCAAAAAGCTATTAAAGGCTGGGCATCCCTAGGAAAGTTTAAGGGCCTTCACTGCACCACGCACCAGTGTTGTATATATTTATCAAATGTGCAGAGAATGACTACTTAAATAAAAATGAACTGGGAGCTTTATTTCTAGTTTGCATAACAATTTTTAATGAACGGCACCATTTCCGAGATAAAAATCAGAAACTGCAGTTATGTGAATGGCATTTCTTTGAATTTCTTGTTTGTTTGTTTTTTTCCTTTAAACTACAGAACTCAATCACTCTCGCATGTTTAGTACATCCTCCTCCCACTTCAGTAACTGTTCTTCCTTTATCCATGGCGCATCTATAGTGCACTACTAGAGAGGCAAGCACCTCCTTTTTGCCCTATTTGTCAAAAAGGCCACAGAGAAGAAAAAGAATGAAGAGCTTAGTGAGTAGAGTTCAACAAATGTAAATACACACACACACATATATATAAATACCTGTAATTTCATACATATATGCCAACAAGAAACACGTTCCTAATTCAGTATATCGGACACAGTTCAGCCTCTATCTGCAAACCTCTAACACAAACCAAAGCGCAGCGGGGCTGCTGGCCCGAGCAGCACGTCCACCCAGCACGCCGTAATAGCAGGTTTGGATTGCAGACCCGATGTCTCGACGAGTATCTTGGCAACACTTTTAATGCTGCTTAGTTTAGCCAGCCTAATTAATAGTGCTTCAATGAGACAAATAATTCCACGAGCATCGGCACTGAAGAAGCCTACAACTTTCTATGTAGCGGCAAGTCCCAACCTTCAACTGAAGCTTTTCTTGCTGTCAAAGAATTTATAGAGTTTTCTCTTATATGGATTTTCTAAAAAACACACATCTTGAGTAGAGCCCTTCTCATACCAGAAAACTAACCAAGTCTCTCTCCTCCAACCAGCCACATATTTTTTAATTTCATCCTGACAAAATTGGGTTGATGTCAACCAACAGAAGCTAAAAAAAAATAAAAATAAAAAAAAAAAAAAAAAAAAAGAGATAAGTGCGTGACTCACTGAAATGTATAAACAGACAGTGTGATCCCACAGTCCTCATTTTTTATACTTTTTTTTTTTTTTTAGAATACCACTACAACTAGCACTCTTGATTCTAGAAATAGAAGTCAACAGAATTAAGCCAAACTGCTAGGACTGATAAAACTCACAAATTCCTCCTGCAAAAGTGGCCAGAACAACACGTTGCTGGCTTTTTTTTTCAATGGTTCACTCTGGCAACAAAAAACATTCATGCCCAAGAATCTTGCCTGAATGCTTCAGCAACTTTCCTGATCGGGAAAAATTAAAAAAAAAAAAAAAAAAAGCAGCAAATAGATGAAAACAATAGGCAACTGAAATAAAAAAACCCACAGGGCGGCACAAAGACCAGCATGCAGCTAACGCTGCTGAAGGGGAGGAGCAGCATCTCACTGCTGGAGCCTTCCAGAGACATGTCAGACTCCAGACCCATTTGGCACAGGCAACATAACTAAATGCTTACTGCATTAAGCAAAATGTTTCCATAAAAAGGCCACTACTGGCATCAAAGAGAATTAAAATTAAGAGATTTTAATGACATCCACTGCCTAATTTTCAAGATGGACCAGCATGAGCAGCAGAAATTAGAACGAGAGGGAGAAGAGGGGAAAAAACCTGTAAATTAACTCCAGTTTCAGGGTTACATTCACACAGGATAGAAGGAAATTTGATTTTATTTTTTTTTTTTGTGTGCAGGCATTTGAGCTGTTGCTGACAAACTTAAAAATTTGTGAGTACTTGCTCTTATGTCAAATTTCCCTTAGACACCGATACAGATTTTCAATATAAGCATGCTGCCTCAGCTTTTAAGGCTTCTTCAGGAAATTACAGTATTATAGTCAAACAGGAATTAAGTAAACTACCAAGACACAGTCCATTACTAGGTCCTGTTCCTTAAACACCATCTGTATTTATGTCATCCATTTTCCAAACCTATAACCGATGAGCTAAAAGATAACTGCACTTCAGAATTAAAAAGCAATGCATGGTAATTTAAACATAGTTTAACTCCTAATTGCATTCGTGCTTCAAATCTTACTTCAGGCTCCATTTTCTTCTCCTAGGTTGTAAATAAAAACCAATGGGGGAAGCCTTCACTTTATTTCTTCACTTCTATTCACCAGCTACGTGTCCTCTCTCAGTCGACGGATAAGGGAAATTGCAATCAAACCTTCCCCAACCCTTTTTATACTGCCTCAGAAAGACCTCAGGAAAAGGACTTTCTTCAGGCAAACTCAAGCAGAAACTGCAATGTGATTTTGGTAAGCAAAGCAGTGAACAAGATAAGGCATCAAATCCATGAAACAGCCTTGCAGTGTGGCTGACACAATGTTTTCCGGCTCCCCTTGCTTTGGTTCACTTGCTTTTGGCCCCTAAAAATTGGGGTTTTTTGCCTGCACCGTTGCACAGCTTCAGCAAGAGAACAGAGGAAGCCCAACCTTTCTTTAAGTGAACGCGCTGCTTGGTGGTCAGGACACTATAAGGAGAACAGGGATTAAATCACGTACGGCAGAAGCAGCACTGAATTCAGGTGTTCTGCTTCCTGGGGATGCGTTGAATAACCAGGCCGTGGTACAGGCATACAAACACACACATTTCCCTTGCCTGTCAGAAGGGCAAAGGCAAAGAGGGAAAGGCAAGCTTTTCCTCATGCCTCCCCCACCCCACTTTTGTAGAAGTCATCGGTAGTCAACCCTTGGCAAGACCATCCGCAGGGGACACTCAGTGCTAAGGAGTCCAAGAGGCCAGGACACTCGACGCCCTACACTAACCAGCT